ATATATATATATATATACACATGTATGTATGCATGTAAAGTGAGACACACGGTGATCCATTAAAACCAGCTGAGCAAACTAAGAAGCCTCTATTGCATTAATGTACAGCTCCCTTCCTCAGAGATCCCATTGATGAAGGAACGATATTAGTTAGATTAGCGTTTTATAGGAAGAGAGTTCTTCCACGTCGCCAAGATCCGTTATCACATCATGATGACTTCCTATATGAGCACCATCGTTTCTGCCGACAAGGAATCAGTTATTTACAGAACTTCTGGAGCCATACATTGAACATGGATGCATAGACTTGCGCTTTTCTGCGAGTTGTACATTTTTGTACAGTGTGCGGAGAATATCGGGAAAGCCGCTGCATGCCGTGCTGTTCGTAAAGTTTATTTGGCGCTTAATAAACTTATGGATATGTTCATTACATTACCATGGCACATATTGACTCACCATTCTGAATAATGTGTTTGTGCTTAGTGTTTACTTGCTCCCATGTCCCATGATGGCTGTGTTGCATACATGAGGGTTAAAGCACTCATAATGATATGACAGTGTTATTAGTACACCAGCATGTCATTAGTGTAGAACATGATGAAGGTGGACTCATGATAAGAATAGAGAGAATCACACACTATTTCTTTTCACTGCTTCAATTGATTGAATTTCTGATTATGAATAATAAATACACACTGATCCGCCCATACACAGATTCACACACATATTCAAACTCCTAGTTCTATATGGTAATCTACACATACATGTATATACACATATATAGTACATGATACATAAGGGCATACAGTACATATATCCTCATATTAATTCGTATCAATTAGATACTCTTTGGGCTTGTTTTTATCTAGCCTACTTATTCTAGCCTACTTATTCTACTTATACTTGTTGAGATAATTATTTTCGCTAGCAAGATCTCATTGGATGATGCATTCCATTAAGCCTACTGCCAGCAGGCACATTTAAACACATATAATCTGATTGATTGGGGTGATGAGGCATTAAAATTAGCCTATACATTTCCCAACACTTACGCATTTAACTTGTCTGAGATATTTTGCGTGCTTCTTGTCTAGCCCTCGCAGCGGTGGCGGTGTTAGATTTAGCCATGATTACGGTCTTGAATTCCTCATATGCATTCATGATCATCTCCTGCTTGTCAGCGGAGTAAAAAGAGGCTCTTTCTTTGACTTTATTTGCCATTGTACTGTTAGAAAATCATGGTTTCGGTGATCGACGCTTCCCCCTTTTGAAGTAGGACGGGCACGCGCAATTATCCTGATCCTGATAGTCTGGTTTGAATTAACGAGATTGTTTGAGAGCGGATCAGCCTTGGAGAAACCGAGATAGCCCGATTTCAATCATCGGGTTAATTTAGGCTGGCTAATAGGACATTTGATCGACTTAGTTGAACCACGTACGAGGAACGGGGCCCAGGGTAGGCCACTACCCTAACATTGTTTGTTTATTTTTCATTCAAAGTTTACAATATTGCATTGTCTCTCAGAAAAAAAGATGCTGCCATCTGCTGATCAATGATTTTAAGTGTTATAAAACTGTGTATCTTTCATTCATATGTTTTTAGTTTTTTGATTATGAGTGGACAACTGCATTTAGTTGATACATTTTTTCACTAAAAATATACGCACTGCAGATCTCCTTTCAACAAACAAAGACAATGCAGACAATGGCACTGTTAAACAAATGTCCATTCAAGTCATTTTAAAATACATAAAAAATAAAGATATAAAGAAACCGACAATATATAGGCCATCAGCCCTGGTCTCACTGACTTATTTTTGTGGTTTACAGCACACTTGTAATTCCCTGCAGAGGGACTTATTTTGGTTTTGTAATGTAGTGAGGTGGCTCACACAGATACAGGTGTTGAAAAAAATGCAGCTTTTTTCTATATTAGACTGTTGTAGTCTGGTTTTTGAAAGCACTTTCTAAATAACAATGCAGTTCACATTTATCTGACTGCTTCTATTAATTCTTGAAAAAGTAGCGAAACATTGAGATGCATCAATGACTGGAAATGGAATCGTGAGGTGAGTGAAGATTCACAGCTCTACTGCTCTCCGGGTCAATATAGCAGCACTGAGGAACTATTGCTAAATGGACTACATTTACCATCAACACTGGTTGGACATCCACATAAAAGGTGCCTAATTTTCTCTTAAAAGCTGCACAGTTGTGCTGATTCTCATTGTGTTTGACATTACACAGAATAGTTTAGCCTCACCTGGTTAGGTGTCCGCTGTGATTTCTCCAGCTGCTCCTCCAGCAGCTGGTTCACTCTGGTTATGTACGTTGCCATTAGGCGAGCCCTCCTGGTGTACTCGTGTATGAAGAGCAGCAGGGAGCGCTGCTCCAGCAGCCTCCACAGAGCTGTGTAGTGTCCCTGCAGGACGGAGGAGGAGGGCAGGATGAGAACGCCACCCTCTGCTGGGACACCTTTAACACAGACCTGATGGGGGAGGAGGAGAGAGGACGGTTTGAAACTCAAATTATGACACTGCTTCTTCTCCCTAATCACAATAAGATCTATAATTCTTAATTTTTGCCTCTTCTTTTTATTTCACTTCTTTATCTAATTTTTTCAATTATTTAAACATCTTGTTCTGCTAACAACTCCCCTTACTGACAAATCTACACCCTCTACAAACGCTGGGCAACCACACAGAATAGTCTGGTCTCCGACCCCCATCATTACTCATCTTTCGTCAGTCCAGTATTAACCTGTAAAGCTCTCATCTTGTCCGCTCTAGTCTTTGTATTTATGCTCTGTCATGTTGGCTGAGTGTTACCACTTACAGCGTTCTGCTCTCTCATTCACCTATTTGATTCATAAAAGTTGTATATGCTTCAATCAAGCAGAAGACAACAGAAATACTGCAGAGATGCTCAAAAAACAACTACAACCGCTAATAACTGCAGCTTAGTTTAAACAATAAACACACACGAATCACACGAAAACTAGGATTACTGCCTATCAACTGTACGTATACCAACCGTATGTATTGTATGCCCAAAATGTCTTCATTTTGTCACGATCAGGCTTTGCCCTGTGTGTTCTGTGTCTGTGTTTCTTTCTGTAGCTCCTCACTCACCTAATCAGCTCATTCAGTGCACCTGCCAGTCACACTCAGCTCATTACTCTCACCTGCTCACTCTGCCTCCTTCACTATTTAAACCCCTGCCGCACACACCCACTGCCAGATCATTGTTTGTTTTCCTACCTACCCGCCCGTTTTGCTCGTCCTGTTCCTGGTTTTCCAGTCTGCCTGTTCCTGCCGGATTTTCCCCCTTGTCCCTGGATTCCCTGTTTGTTTTTGGTTCATTAAAACCTTTTTTCACTACACCTGACTGTCTGCGTTTGAGTCCTCATCATGCCCCGTGACACATTTATCGTGTTAGACATTTGTGTGAAATTCTCATAAAATTATTGGAAATCTTCGGTAATGGCCGAAAAACATGCGGTTTTTCAGGTCACAGTGACCTTTGACCTCCAAAATCAAATCAGTTCATCCTCGAGTCCAAGTGGACGTTCATGGTAAATTTGAAGAAATTCCCTCCAGGCGTTCCTGAGATATCTCCTTCACGAGAATGAAACCATTTTTATTGTCATATACACGAATTTGACCCATCCCTGTACATAGGGAGCAGTGGGCTGCCAATGATAGGCACCCGGGGAGCCGGGGGTTCAGTGTCTTGCTCAGGGACACTTCGACACGTGACCCTGCGGTTACCAGACAACCCTCTTAACCCAGTGAGCCACGGTCACCCCCGAATAAGAAGGACTGCTGGACAACCTGAAATCATAACGTCTCCGATGATGGCATAAAACTCTTTTGTTTCATAAAAACTACCACTAGAGACCAGGGCAGCGGGGAGATCCAGTACAGTATTGGACCTGTTTCAAATATTGGTCCAAAACTAAACGGGCTGCAGCGTTTCTGACAACATTATGAAAGCACGCATCAGAGAAATAAAAGGTTCTTCATTCTTTCTCTCAAACATCAGGTTGAGGGGATCACACGCATCAACACCTGCTGAAATCCAGAACCCACCTGTGGAGATCCCCTCTGTGCCCAGCTCATCGGCTGCCACTGGGGTGCCATGGTCAGAAGAGCTTGTTGCAGACGCAGGAGACGTGCAGAGGACCGGGACACCAGATTGTGAGCGACCACAAAATTTCCCTCTTCCTCTTCCTCATCTTGACTGTGGCCGTGGAACAGCCACTTCAGACTGGGATTAAAGGTGCTTCTGAGTAAAGACTCAGCTCGCTGCAAGGAACGGGAGAGGGACCTCTGTGACCAGGAACCTGGAGGGGCAGACCAGGGGTGGGGGTTAAACAACAAAAGAAGCCAAAAACTCCACACCCTCATTCTGTTACCCTCCTTCAATAACTACAAATTACAAACAATAGTCTCTGATCACTGCAACTGTTTATGAGTTTGCTTCTCCACAACACTGTTGTCTTTTATATATTGTACATATTAGGATGTTGTAATTTTTGTATGAGATTGAATGAGATGTTTCTATGATGTATTCGTTTGTAACGACTTGCCTCCTGTTGCTGCCTTTTCGGCCAGGCGGTCATTGTAAATGAGAACTGGTTCTCAATTGACTTATCTGGTTAAATAAATGTAAAATGAAGACAAAACATTGGTAAAATATCTTTACGTCACATTAGCTTATCAATTGGCATTTTCAGCTTTTAAAAATGAATCAAACTGCAGGAAAAAACAGTGAAATGACATTCTACATCTGTATGGGTACTAAAACTCCTTTTTGGTAGTGACCAAAGCAAAATGTGTCAGGATCCTTGTCAGACCAAACACCTCCCATGGCCACACAGCTGCAGACACTTCAGCTAATGTCCACATGGCCGGGAATCCCCCGTGCCCTCCGTTGTGTTCCACGGGACTTCACACCGTCGATCTGCCTGCCCTCCGGTGTCGATCCACAGGACATCACACCGTCGATTTGCCTGCCCTCCAGTGTCGGACCACTGGTATCACACCGTCGATCCGGCCTGCTTCCTGTGTCGGACCACGGGCTCCATACAGCCATTCCTGTCTCCTATGGTCTTGCTATTGGGTCCTGATCTTGAACTCCCGTGACAGAACGAACTGACCATAATGGACCCAGCAACCACAGGAGCAGCTGCGCTGTACAGACATAACACTCTGCTGGAGGAAATGAGAAGTTTCGCATCTGAAGTTTCCCAGATTGGCTGTATCGTGCAGGAACTAGCTCGGACATTCAAGTCTCCATCAGTTCCAGCACCCGCACTATTCCCTCCAGTCCTCGCTCCGCCGGTCCCGGAATTCCCCGTGCTGTCTCCGGATCCCTATGACGGAACACTGGGGAAGTGCCAGGGCTTCCTGTTGCTATGCCAACGGGTATTTGACCGTCAGCCTCAGACTTTTGCCTCGGACGGGTCCAAGGTCTCCTACGTGGTTGGATTACTGCGGGGAAGGGCTTTGGAGTGGGCCACAAGAACATTATGTTTTGATCGGCCTAATACTGTGTTTTATGTGGACTTTGTGGAGGATCTGAGGAGGGTTTTTGACCCTCCGGTGGCCTCTGATTATGCGGCTAAGCGCCTTCTCAGCCGGAGACAGGGCCAAGCGAGTGTAGTAGAACACTCTGTGGTCCGACCGACTCCGGCTCCCCGTATTCGGACGGCATTCCACCCAACTCCGTATCAAGCCTCGGAGCCGCAGCGAACTCCAGTTCCTGTTCCTGCCGTCTCAGTGCCGCAGCGAATTCCAGTTCCTGTTCCTGCTGACTCAGCAAGCTCCAGTTCCTGTTCCTGCCGCCTCGGAGCCGCAGCGAGCTCCAGTTCCTGCCGCCTTCGCAAATTCCAGTTCCTGTTCCTGCCGCCTCAGCGCCGCAGCGAATTACAGTTCCTGTTCCTGCCGCCTCAGCGCCGCAGCAAGCTCCAGTTCCTGCCACCTCAGCCCCGCAGCTATCCCCAGACCCGGCTGCCGCCTCAGAGCCGCAGCTATCCCCGGACCCGGCCGCCGCCTCAGAGCCGCAGCTATCCACGGACCTGGCTGCCGCCGCCTCCGAGTCACATCGACCTCCAGTTCCCGCCGTTGCCATCTGAGAGCCGCAGCAACCTCCAGTTAGTGCCGTTGCCGTCTCAGAGCAGAAGCGACCTCCAGTTCCCGCCGTTGCCGCCTCAGAGCAGCAGCGACCTCCAGTTCCCGCCGTTGCCGCCTCAGAGCAGCAGCGACCTCCAGTTCCCGCCGTTGCCGCCTCAGAGCAGAAGCGACCTCCAGTTCCCGCCGTTGCCGCCTCAGAGCACCAGCGACCTCCAGTTCCCGCCCTTGCCGTCTCAGAGCAGCAGCGACCTCCAGTTTCAGCCGTGGCCGCCTACGAGTCGCAGCGACCTCCAGTTCCTGCAGTTACCGCCTTTGAGTCGCAGCGAACCGCCGGAGCACCCGTGTCCAGAGCAAGTCCGGCCTTCTGCCCAGAGCACCCATGTCCACAGCAAGTTCGGCAGTCCGGCCGTCCGCCGGAGCACCCGTGTCCAGAGCAAGTCCAGCCGTCCGCCGGAGCACCCGTGTCCGGAGCCCTTCTGCCCGTCCGGCTGTCCGCCGGAGCACCTGTGTTCGAAGCCTTCTGTGGCCCCGTGGCCGGTCAAATCCAGTCACCCCTCCTCCGGACCCCCTCCACCCACCCTAGTTGGCTTTGTATCTGCTGGGACGTTCTGCCTTGAGTGCCTGCCTCCGGTGTCCACATGTCCGGGAATCCCCCGTGCCCTCCGTTGTGTTCCACGGGACTTCACACCGTTGATCTGCCTGCCCTCCGGTGTCGAGCCACGGGACATCACACCGTCGATCTGCCTGTCTTCCGGTGTCGATCCACGTGAATCACACCGTCGATTTGCCTGCCCTCCGGTGTCGGACCACGGGTACTACACCGTCGATCCGGCCTGCTTCCTGTGTCGGACCACGGGCTCCACCCAGCCATTCCCGTCTTTTATGTTGGTAAAATAAAATCTGTTTTACCAGATTCTGTCTCCTGTGGTCTTGCTATTGGGTCCTGATCTTGAACTCCCGTGACAAAATGATGTTTCTCTAATAAAATAAGGTATCTGTTTTTAAGAGGGACACTTTGGACATCTAGTTTGCAGTGACATTCCAAAGTCTCAGCTTGCTGGACATCACCCGTTAGTATAAAGCAGTTATGTATGTTGATTGTTCTGTGTAGTGACTGCTAAAACAGTATATAGTGACAGTTAGATGTAGTACATCCTGTATATAGATCTGGGACAGAGATATGTGCTCCAAATACACAACAATTGTCTGATAATATAGTGTTTTTGGACACAGTTCTTCCAGCTGCATACATGTACACATAGTACCATCAGTGGTCAGATCCTCGGTCACCATGCAGGAACTCCTCTGAAAGACAAAGGGAAATCAATAGTAGAGCTAGTGTTTTCTAGAAGATCATCTATGAATGCTCTTTACATTTTATAAGTTCTCTCAAAACTTTTTATCACTGCTGTACCAATTCAGTTATACATCTTGCTTACGCCACAAAATGTCGCAAAATTGTTTGTTTCATAAGACCGCTTCAAATTTTCAAAAACATATATGGCCGACAATTACCTGCAGCTCCAGGAGTAAACTAGAGGGGATTGTTTCAACGCTTTTGCTCTCTCCTTTTGGACTTAACACCCCCTGAATCCTGTCTTTGCTGACCTCCAGTCACTTTGATGCGGTGATGTAACAGTGTACTCAAGGACTTTGTGACACTTGTGCCCACACCCATCAGTGATCCCGAGTGTGGTCAGAGGAGAAACAGGCTTGAAACTCTCAATCAGAGAAGGCAGAAAAACACTTTCAGCCTGCTTGTTACTCTTTGAGATATGTGAACACATATGAATTTATATTTTATCATGCTTCATCTTTTCTAAAGTTTGTACTTTATGTCTGTTGCCTTAGTGTTTGTATTGTGAATCTATAGTCCATGATCTGTAGCCCATGATCTGTAGTTCATGATCTGTAGTTCATGATCTGTGATGATCTGTAGGCTATGATCTGTGATGATCTATAGGCTATGATCTGTAGTCCATGATCTGTAGTCCAAGATCTGTAGTCCAAGATCTGTAGGCTATGATCTGTAGGCTAAGATCTGTAGGCTAAGATCTGTAGTCCATGATCTGTAGTCCATAATCTGTAGACTAAAATCTGTAGTCCATGATCTGTAGTCTGTGATCCGTAGTCGATGATCTGTAGTCTGTGATCCGTAGTCGATGATCTGTAGTCTGTGATCTGTAGTCTGTGATCTGTAGTCTGTGATCTGTGATCTGTAGTCTGTGATCTGTGATCTGTGATCTGTGATCTGTAGTCTGTGATCTGTAGTCTATGATCTATGGTCTGTGATCTGTAGTCTGTGATCTGTAGTCTGTGATCTGTAGTCCGTGATCTGTAGTCCGTGATCTGTAGTCCGTGATCTGTAGTCTGTAGTCGATGATCTGTAGTCCGTGATCTGTAGTCTGTAGTCGATGATCTGTAGTCGATGATCTGTAGTCGGTGATCTGTAGTCTGTGATCTGTAGTCTGTGATCTGTAGTCTGTGATCTGTAGTCTGTGATCTGTAGTCCGTGATCTGTAGTCCGTGATCTGTAGTCTGTAGTCGATGATCTGTAGTCGATGATCTGTAGTCTGTAGTCTATGATATGTAGTCGGTGATCTGTAGTCGGTGATCTGTAGTCTGTAGTCTATGATCTGTAGTCTATGATCTGGAGTCTGTAGTCTATGATCTGTAGTCGATGATCTGTAGTTGGTGATCTGTAGTCTGTAGTCTATGATCTGTAGTCTGTAGTCGATGATCTGTTGTCTGTGATCTGTAGTCTGTGATCTGTAGTCGATGATCTGTAGTCTGTAGTCCATGCGTCCAAAGCTAAAATGCTTTAAAGCTCCTGGAGCTGCAGGATGAGCTGTAATTCTCTCTGGGTTCCTTAATACAAGCAACCCCCTCTCCATTATTACCATTAATGGACAGAAACATGTTTTACTGAACTAACCTGCTCTTTTTCTGGACAGATTGACTCAGAATTCTCCTGGTCTGGAAGAGAGAGACAAACAAAAAACACAATCATCAGACAAACAAAACAAATGACAGTATCACCAACATGTACAAAAAGAGCTAGACTGGATCTTGTATTACTTTCCACGGATTCTCAGGAACCATGAAGGTAATGAAATGCCATGCGTAAGGGTTAGAAATGTAAACTAATTGAAGGGATGTCATTTGAGAGGTCCTACCACCCCTTTGTGTTTGAACCAGAAGCATATAAGATGGAATCTAAACAAATCTGTCTTTTTATGTTGGTCGGAGTTTTAAGTCCACTACTTAAGATATTCTCTGTGTCCCAATTTCCCAATACACACTACACTGGGATTTGAGTGTGTAGTGCAAACCAGATGATTGACACCAACTTCACCAACAGTGAGCCTTAGTCAAATACAAAAGCTCCTCTCATTGACAATTTCTAGGTTATAAAAACTGAATCATCTCTGATCAATTACTGCTTTAAACTATTGGATGTATGGATTTGAGGAGCTTGCTAACAGGCTACAGAACAGAGAAGAAAGCACCAGGGTGAACTTGAAGACTGTTTAAAGGTCTGGGGAGCAGAGCTACTGTTCCTTCACTAATGACACATGATGTGGATGTAAACGACCTCACACTCATTGTTTCACTTCAAATCCAATGTGCTGGAGTGCGAGACAACACAACATAAAATGTGCCACTGTCCTATACTTTGTGAGGGAAATATACAGTATGTTAATAACTATGTGTGTGTGTGCATCACCTGCTGTTAGACCAGGTTCTCCACCAGGATCTGTCACAATCTCTGGGTTGTTGTGATCCATCACAGGCAATGCAGCTAAGCTGTGAACAGACAGTATGGACATTGTTAGCTGCTTGGTAAATGGTAAATGGACTGTACAAGTATTTCTCTTTTCTAGTCTTCTGACCACTCAAAGCTCTTCAACACTACATGTCATCATTCACCCATTCATTCACTGATGACAGGAGCTACCATACAAGGTGCCACCTGCTTACTGTGATTGACCAGAACTGTATCCGGCCTTATCCGTATCTCTACGTCACTCCTCCACATTCCAAATATGGTAACTTCTGTTCATTGGTTGCAAAAACAACAACAACATAACTAAAAAAGTTATTATTATTAAAATGTAACTTTACTCCAGGTCTGAGCCTAAGTCCACCCACTGCATAATTTAAAAAATGCAAAAGAGATGAGGCTGAGAGATGAAACCATTATCCACTTCTGAATGACGAAAGCCTCGACACAGAATCGACAAATATGACAGTAGCTTGAGAAATAGCAAATGATCAAAGGTCACTGAATTTGACGGATCTACTGTTTATAAGACTAAAAATGAGACATGACACATGTCCCTCCGCCTCATCCCCCAACTCTGGGAGAGTTCGCCGGGAGGAGAGCAAGCACCAGTTAAGGAGACGGCTGCAGCAACTGGGATTGAGCCAGAGCCAGACCGAGCTCCTCAGTGTCCTGAGAGGCCGTCTGCAGTCCTCTAGCGGCGGGGGGGCATGGACCAACCACTGTAACGTTTGCACTATTACCTCCATTCCATTGTCATTGTTGTTGTATAGGTTTATGTTCATATATCCATGGCAATACTCGATCCGA